AAAATTTTCAAGCAATATTTTTAAATCAAAATAAATATTTATTTTATGATTAAAAAATTATATTTTTATCTATATTATATTAAAGAATAGTAGAAAAATATATATTTATCTATATTATATTAAAGAATAGTAGTTGATAATGATATTAAATAAAGTTACAAGTTAATGAAAAGCCACATAAAACGTAGTAAGACTATATATCAGATTAAAAAATAGCAAAATTACGTTAAATTACTAAAAAATTACTATTAGAAATGAAAAGGAAAAACTATTTGAATGTAAGATTAGAATTCTTAAAACTATGATGAGAATGCTCAAACTATGGATAATAGCATAAAATTGAAGTCTTATTTATGAAAAATAAAATAAAAAATAAAAATTTAAAAATAAAAAATAAAAATTTAAAAATAAAAAATAAATTTCTATATTGGCAATTTTACTAATAAAAATTAAAAATTAAATTTTTATCTTAAAACTAAAAGAGAAAGAAAATTTACATAAGTAAATAATATGATAGTGAAAATATTGCTACAACATTCAGATATAATGTGTTCAAAATAATTATAAAATATGATTAAATTAAAATTTTTATATAGGTAATTTTACTAATAAAAATTAAAAATTAAATTTGCATCTTAAAGCTAAAAAGAAAAAAAATTTAACTGCAGCTAATACAAAATAATTATAAGAGAAACTCAATATATTTGGAACATATTAATCAAATAAATTAATTCAAAGTTACAATTTAAAATAAAATATGATATTATTTTGGTTATAGGTGAAATAGTTATATAAAAACTAATTAAAATATTGTAGTAGAGAAGAGAGTGTATAAAAAATAGAGGTAGTGTGAGGATACTTATACTTTAAATTAAATAAAAATAAATAAATTAAATAATTAAAATATATTTTAAAATATTACTTATAAATTTAAATAATTAAAAAATTTCGAATAAGAGGTTACAAGCATAAAAATATACCAAATTTCAAGAATAAAACATTTATATTTATTAAGGACTATTAAAGGATAATAAGCAAGACATTAATTTAATTATTAAGCTAATAAAAACTTATATGATAGTATAATAATATTAATTAATAAATAATACAATAACTATAAGAAAAGAACAAAAAAAAAGAATTTTCATAAAAATGATGTGATAAATAAGACATATTTGACTTTCAGTCTTTCAAATAAAAACAAAGTGATAGTAAGAATTTTGTTAAAATAATATTATCTAATGTGCTCAAACAAGACAGATCACAACATGACATGTTTAGTATTCTTTAATATTGACAGCAAAATGAAATGCAAGTACTACAATTAAGGATTATGCTAATACAAATATATATAAAAAAATAGGTTGTCTACTACGAGATTTGAACAATAATTTTATATCCTTCTTCATAATTAATATCCAATGTTATATAATTTTTATTTTTAAGGTTATTCGCACATGATTCAAACAACCTACATCACAATTTGATATAATTTTTGTCCGCGCATCACGCGAGTACTAATACTAGTTCTCCTTCAAAGTTAAGCAAAATAAAATAAAATCCAAATCCTCACGTACAACTTATCCAATAAGACTTCTCTCATAAAACAAAGGACAACTAAATCGAAATAAAGCAAAACATTTTGTTTTGATTCCCGGAAACCAATTTTTTTTTAACCAAAACAGTTATACTTATTAGTTCAATTTTTCTTTGTTTTGATTGCGGAAAACCAAAATTTTCTTAACCAAAATAATTATTCTTATTAGTTCAATTTTTCAATTAAAAAATGCCATATATCAGTGACAATAAAAGCAAGGGTAATACACGAGGCAATGGGAAAAAAAATACTTCCCCCAAAAATGAGAATGACTTTTATATATGTAGTTTAAAATAATTTATAAATATTTATATAGCTATAAATTATTTTATTAAGAATAAAAAAATTTAAAATTAAATTATTTTAAAAAAAATCATTGTTATTGAAACGGAGGAAGTAAGAAAAAAGAAAAAACACGAGACGACAACATAGTCAAATGTCCGTGCCAGCAAGCAAAAAGGGTTTTAAGACTCCTCAGCTACTAATAATTCAATACTCCTTTCCTCTTCTCTCTCTCTCTCTCTCTCTCTCCCTGTTTACATATACATACAGTGTATGTATGTATAGACAGAAGAGTCTGTACTGTACACATATATGGCCTCTGTTCTCTGCTTCTCCACTACCACTTTCAGACAAACAACAAATAAACCCTTGTAAAACCCTAAAATTTTCCTACTTTTACAGTCTCACCCCCCTCCAGTTGTTCTTTTTATTCTTTTGTGGTTAAAAATAAATAAAAAAATACTATTACTACTACTTTATTATCAAGACGGCCGCTCTTTTGAGCAATAAGCAGCTAGTAAGCAGAGCTGCCATGGCATTCTTGGGGTTCTCAGTTCAGTCTTCCCCTTTCAAACCCACCTCTTATCTTTGGTTTTCTCCTCATTCCTTCTCCTCTTCTCGCTCCTTTTGGGCTTCTTCTGGTAAAGCCCTCCACAGGTTTGCCCCTTCCTTTTCTACCTTTTATTTTATTATATATAATGTTTCTTCCCTTTTAACCTTATTAATACTTGTCATAGTTTGGCTGATTACAGAGTTTATGAAAGAAAAAGTACTTTTTATTGTTTGTTTTATTTGGTTACTGCCTGCCCCCTTGTTTTGGAATGCAGGGTGAGTACCATTTGAGTTTTTTGTTTCTTTATTTACTTATTAACCTTGTCTTTTGTAAAGTTTAAATGCTTGCAAAAGTGTTTCTGTAAACGATTTTGAGAATATACTTGACTTGAAGCTATGTTGGCCCAAGGGTGGTCAACTTACCCCCTTCGCCGAAAAATTATACTTTGTATTTAATAAAATATTACTTGTTATTGATTGAAAATAGACTTTGAACACCCTTGCATAGCCCACTGGCAAAAGGTGTTCAAAATTTGAACACCCTTATTGAATTTTCTGGCTTCGCCAGACACTTAGAAACAATGATGCTTTTGTACTCCCATAATATACCTCCTTGCTTCTGAAGTTGTTAATAAAATTACTTAGTCAAAAGTATTAGTAGATGGTTGGCATTACAGTTAGGACGAAGATGGTGGACCGATTATCAGTTTTCTTAGGAAATGTAAGGTCACAGTGGAGAATTATTCTAGTGCTGTTTCTTAAGTTCTACTTATGGTGTGTGGAGGGTGGCAACTTTGAGCTGATTATGGAAATTTGGAATATATTGCTTATCTTGAAACATCATCCCATCATATTATTTTGTAAAAAATGACACTTATTTTCTTTGACAAAGAGGAATTTTTGCTTCTTTGTCCACCACTCACCACTGTAATGCAGATACTTATGCCAGTTAAGATATTTGTGAATATGTTTTCGACCATGTATGATCTAATGAATAGGGAGAGAATTGAAAGCACAACGCCAGCGATTGAATGTTAGATTACCAAGTCCCAGTTCTTTTTCTATTCAAAGCTGAATATCATTTGCAGGCGTGAAGATTGCAAAACTCAGAGTGTAGAAAATGCATCGTCCAGCTTAGCAGTGCTTGGCGATTCCATTAAACAAATATCAAGTCACGAAAGGAAGTTATTTTCTAGTGGACTACAACATAAAATTGAGGAAGACAGTACTTACGGATGGATCGTTGAAACTAATGCTCTTAAAGCTTCTAAAGCTAAAAGCTCTTATAACAGTTACAAAAAGATTTCAGCAGCAAATTGCAATGTTAGTGCCTCTACAAATTGGAAGGTGAAAGATGAATTTTTTGATGTTCCAACTGAAGTCAATACGAGAATGATGCGTGAACGCATCACCTCTAGCTATTCTGCCACAACCTGTATTTCAGGAGGCAACTTATCTTCAAAAAGCAAACCGCCTTATAACTCTGCTGGAGGAGAAAAGAAGGTAGTTGGAAACTGGAGAGAGTATGAAAACCATTTGCCACAATTATCTGTAGGTCTTAACCATTCAAGAGTCAATGGAGCTAGGTCAGTAAATAAGGTTGATGGTTCTAATGTATCTCATTACAAACCCTTATCAAAAGGTTCCCATCTTAATGGGCAATTATCAAGCAAAATTATGGAAGCAAAGTTGGAGAAGGTAAATAAACTAAGGGAGGGTCATGCATCTGATCAACTAAGACACAGTGTGAACGGGACCGAGACCAAGGTAGTTAATGTCAAAGTAAAAGGTGTTATCCAGGAGCGTGCTATGAATAAAATGGAGAAGAATGTAATTCAAGCCGTGACAGCTGATGTCATGAATGGAGCTGAGACCAATGCAAAAAGGGTTATCCTGGAGCGTGCAACTAATAAAATGGAAAAGAATGCAATTCAATCCATGGAAACTGATGTCGTGAATGGAACCAAGACTAGGATTGTCAGTGATGAAGGAACAGGTGTAAGTCAAGTTTCCCTCCGTGAGAGGTTGGGTGCAATGTATGACAAAGTTCATATGGTTGACAATTTATCAGCAGCTAAGGAAGTTGTCAGAAAGCTTACAAGTCAGTACAGGCATCTCGTCCATGCGTGTGATACAGAGGCACGTCTATCTTAGTTTTGTTTGGTTTTTCTGATTTCTCGAGATTTCCATGCACATGGAGAATTCTTCATTTGCAATTTAATTTGTCTCTCAGCCACTTTAGAGATTATTTACCCTTTTTGATCAATCATACATAGGTAGCAAAGATTGATGTTAAGCAGCAAACACCTGTTGATCATGGAGATATTATATGCTTCAGTATTTATTCTGGACCAGAGGCTGATTTTGGTGATGGGAAATCTTGTATCTGGGTAGATGTTCTTGATGGAGGTGGCAAGAACCTCTTAGTTGAATTTGCTCCATTTTTCCAAGACCCATCCATTAGAAAGGTAGCTCTTTTATGATGGTAACTTTATTTGGTTACATTTGTTCCTCCAAATGCCTTCTTTTGTGGCTGTCTATTTAAGATCTTTGTTCATGGCTTGTGTCATTTACTGCATCATATCATATACCATTAACATACAAATTATAATGTGCAGTGGTTTTTCTGTAGGTCTGGCACAATTATAGCTTTGACAACCATGTCATCGAGAACTATGGGTTTAAAGTATCGGGCTTTCACGCTGACACAATGCACATGGCACGACTTTGGGATTCCTCTAGGCGAACTTCAGGTGGTTATTCACTAGAGGCACTAACAGGTGATTCCACTGTCATGCGTGATGCTAGACCTGTCCATGCTGAAAGGCTGTTCCATGGTGAAGGTCTGTTTGGTAAAATATCTATGAAAACGATCTTTGGTCGGAAAAAGCTGAAGAAAGACGGAACTGAGGGTAAAGTTACTGTCATTCCTTCTGTTGAAGAGTTGCAAAAAACTGAGAGAGAATTATGGATTTGTTATTCTGCATTAGACTCCATAAGCACATTGATGCTTTACGAGAGTTTGAAGAATAAACTGTCTAAACGGATCTGGACATTCGATGGAGTTCGTAAAGGATCGATGTATGAGTTTTATGAGAAATACTGGCGTCCATTTGGTGAGCTGCTAGTTCAAATGGAAACTGAGGGTGTGCTGGTTGACCGTGCCTATCTTGCCGAGATTGAGAAAGTGGCTAAAGCTGAGCAGCAGGTTGCTGCTAATAGATTTCGTAACTGGGCAGCTAAGTACTGTCCTGATGCAAAGTACATGAATGTTGGAAGTGATACACAGTTGCGGCAGCTGTTTTTTGGTGGCATCCAGAATAGGTATAAAGCTTTCCAAAAATTACTTTCTTGCGAAGAAACTTAATCTAAATGTTTAGTGTGTTGAATAACTTGCATTTTGCATATCACACGTTTCTCGTTCATCTGTGTGTCCGGTAGTCAAATAGCATCCCCCTCTGTACTCTTTCACCAGTGTAGATATTATTGATTTTGCTGTGTGCAATCAATTATGGTTGAGTAGCTGTCCTTGGCTAATCCCGCAATGACACACAGGGCAATAAAATATGTACAGAAAGTGTAATCAGCACATGAAGAACATGAGCCGTAATGCAATCATGCTTTTGCTGATTTAATATTTGTTATCGATCAGAAGCTTCTCTGCAAATCCCATCTTATTTTGTTATTGAGTAAAGTTAGATTTTATTGCTTATCTAAGGTACACGGGAGGTGCAAAATATATACATTGCAAAAACTCAAGCTCCCACAAAAGGGAGGGAATTGAGGAGTCGGAGTATAGTACCTAAATAACTAAACCAAAAGACCAAGTACAAGCATCTATATTTCAATCTCTGCGCTGCCTCTATTCAAGTTTCACCTCTGCGAGAGGTGATGGCATCCTCGTGCATGAGATTCAGCTTTCGAGGATCCATGTTCTTGTTAATTTCCAGATGCCATTTATACAACTACAATAAAATCCAGTTAACCTCCTGGAAGTTTTGCGTTGGAGTGTGTTACCACAATTTCACATTAAGCTATGGCAGCATATAATGTCTTTGCTTTCGTTTTTTCTTCAGGTTGTCTTATGCTTATTCAGTCCGAAAATACCTCACATTTGATTTTCTTTTTCTTTCCAAAAATAATTTCTGAACAGAAAGAATTCTGATGAGAGTCTACCATATGAGAAAGAATTCAAAGTTCCAAATGTCGATAAAGTAATTGAAGAAGGAAAGAAGGCTCCCACCAAATTTCGTAAAATCCGACTACATAGAATTTGTGATCTTATCGACACTGAGATGTACACTGCCAGTGGCTGGCCTTCTGTTAGTGGGGATGCTTTGAAGGCTCTCTCTGGCAAAGTTTCTGCGGACTTTGATATTCTTGATGAAGCGGATGACAATGCTGAGGAAGATCCTGAAACAAGCATTGATGAAGCTTTAGCTACAAATAATGAAGTTCCCAGTCAAGAACCAGAAGTTTCTATTTATGGATCAGCGTACAATGCCTTTGGAGGTGGGCAGAAAGGAATTGAGGCCTGCCATGCCATTGCAGCATTATGTGAAATGTGCTCCATAGACTCTTTAATATCCAACTTTATACTCCCATTGCAAGTAAGTTGCTTTGTGTTCTTTTCCATGATGTGGTATATAGTCTTTCCTCATGGAAGTGCCTAAGAAGTTCAGGGCAATTTTGACTTGGCTGTAGAATTTGTTTGTTAAATGATATGCTACTAAATGTTCTCTTCCTATAAATTTCTGGACTTGATTATGATTTTTCCATCTTAGGCTGAATTGGGAATTAGTCACCTTATATCTTAGTCAAAACTTGCTGGTAAAACAGTAAATTAAATGGTCAGAACTCAGAAGGATTAGCAATCATTGATATCGAGTAGAAAATTCAAGGAATCCTTTACCTCTGTGATAGTAATCACTAATCAGTTATCACTAAATAGAGAGATGCAGTGGAAGATAGCCAAGAGTCATTTTTGTTGATGTTACCATACACCACATGCTTGTTGACAAACTGAAAGTTTGCGATGAGGAATTGATCTATAAAAAATTTGACTTGGTTTTATGTTGGCACTGATGTCATGGGTCTATGTGGGGAAGTTCCTACAATATTAAGTCTTCGTTNGATATTCTTGATGAAGCGGATGACAATGCTGAGGAAGATCCTGAAACAAGAATTGATGAAGCTTTAGCTACAAATAATGAAGTTCCCAGTCAAGAACCAGAAGTTTCTATTTATGGATCAGCGTACAATGCCTTTGGAGGTGGGCAGAAAGGAATTGAGGCCTGCCATGCCATTGCAGCATTATGTGAAATGTGCTCCATAGACTCTTTAATATCCAACTTTATACTCCCATTGCAAGTAAGTTGCTTCGTGTTCTTTTCCATGATGTGGTATATAGTCTTTCCTCATGGAAGTGCCTAAGAAGTTCAGGGCAGTTTTTACTTGGCTGTAGAATTTGTTTGTTAAATGATCTGCTACTAAATGTTCTCTTCCTATAAATTTCTGGACTTGATTATGAATTTTCCATCTTAGGCTGAATTGGGAATTAGTCACCTTATATCCTAGAAAAAACTTGCTGGTAAAACAGTGAATTAAAGGGTCAGAACTCAGAAGGATTAGCAATCATTGATATCGAGTAGAAACTAGAAAATTCAAGGAATCCTTTTCCTCTGTGATAGTAATCACTAATCAGTTATCACTAAATGGAGAGATGCAGTGGAAGATAGCCAAGAGTCATTTCTGTTGATGTTACCATACACCACATGCTTGTTGACAAACCGAAAGTTTGCTATGAGGAACTGATCTATGAAAAATTTGACTTGGTTTTATCTTGGCACTGATGTCATGGGTCTATGTGGGAAAGTTCCTACAATATGAAGTCTTCATTGTGGATAACCCGCTCAACGGATACTTAAAGGAGAAAAGAAAATACTAATCCTTTTCTGATTGTTCAAATAATTTATCTGCTTTTGTAATAGCGCATGAGAATGACATTTCCTGAAGTTTCATGATGAGACGTTAAAAATAGTGATCGGCTTTCCTCTTTCATATATAAATATCTGAGAAACATTTTTGCCTCGGGTGCTGTCTTTTTGAGCGACAAAAACTGCAGTGACCAAGTTATTCACGGCTCACTGTTTAATCAGGCCTTAGTAGGGATTACTCTTGCTACCTCACCTTTGTTGTAAGGTGTGTAGGTGTTCACAATCAATGAATCAGGGTTTTCTGTAGGATAGGACACTCGAGCTTTCTTTGGACTCTGATTGTGATAGGTTAGCAATGTAGTGGAGACGGAAGTACCGACAAGGTGTTTGGTTGAGGCTAGAGTAGCCATAACGTCATGGAAGATGGTTTTGAGGCAAACTGAGTTAATTCATCTCCCAAGTGTCATGTTTTTTTCCAAAAAATTATGTCTTGAATAATATGCTCTAGAGATCTAGCAGCACAATAGTCACAAATTGCACCTCTCTACTTTTGGGTAAGAGATACCGTCTGATGTACCTTTTCTTGAGTTAATTGGCAGTGTGGGTTAGGTTTCTTTATTTTGAAGTCGAAGCTTTCTTTTTAATGACATTGCTCTTTCTATCTCAGGGCCAAGATGTATCAGGTGAGAATGGACGAATTCATTGTTCCCTGAATATTAACACTGAAACCGGGCGCCTGTCTGCGAGGAGACCAAATTTACAGGTTTATTTATATTTCACTCTGACTTCTTAACTGTTCATGATTTTTGTTTCACAGATATGCCATCAGCCACTTTTTGTCTTGTTTTAGATGTCGCTTCTCACAATTTTCTTTCTTGAACTCAAGATTTGATATTAACCTATAAATTTACAAAAATGTCATAAATGTGCTTCTCCTTTATCGCTAATTGGGCTCATGCTGTATTTCATGGCTCAAGTGAAGTGATATCATGTAAGAACTTCAATGGTCATCAGTCGTCACTTATGTTAGACCTTACACATTTATTATTATTATTATTATTATTATTATTATTATTATTATTATTATTATTATTATTATTATTATTTTGCGCCAAACTACTCATCAGTCATTGCTTGACTGGAATGTTGTTTCAAATGTTATTTCTTGGCAATACAGAACCAGCCTGCTCTGGAGAAAGATAGGTACAAAATTCGTCAAGCTTTTGTAGCTGCACAAGGGAATTCCTTGATTGTGGCCGACTATGGGCAGGTATCTAGCTGCTTACCAGTTATAATAGTTTATATTTTTTGAATTGGTTGCAAAAATATTGACATTTTTTCTTATAATTAGTTGGAACTTAGGATTCTTGCACATCTTGCCAACTGTAAGAGCATGTTGGATGCTTTCAAAGCTGGTGGAGACTTCCATTCAAGGACTGCTATGAACATGTATACTCACATCCGTGAAGCCGTTGAAAATGGTCAGGTACTTCTTGAGTGGCATCCTCAACCAGGTGAAGAAAAACCTCCAGTTCCTCTTCTAAAGGTAACTGCAAAACACTTATTGTGGATGGTGAAAATTTTCAGATTTAATATGTAGAAGACAGGATAGTTGTTGGATTTAATGACTGTTGTATTTTACACCTTGTGAACTAATTCCAAGGGGGGAAATTCCGCTTCTTCAAAAGAACAAGAATTTTAGTGCAAGAAGTTTTATTTATTGGGATTTTGATACAGTATAATGCAAATTCCTTTTCAGGATGCTTTTGGCTCTGAAAGAAGGAAGGCAAAGATGCTCAATTTTTCAATTGCTTACGGGAAAACTACAATTGGACTTGCCCGCGATTGGAAGGTACTTCAGCATTTTGAGACAAAATATCTATTTAATTACCTTGATTTCTATAGAATTTGTTGGGTCTGCATGAGCTAAATGAATACTATTTCATACTTAGGTATCCGTNGTACTATTTCATACTCAGGTATCCGTAAAGGAAGCTAAGGAAACAGTTGATCGGTGGTATAGTGATAGAAAAGAAGTGTCAGATTGGCAGGAACAACGCAAATTTGAAGCACGCGAGTTCAGACGTGTTCACACGCTTCTAGGACGGGCACGCTGGTTCCCATCAGTAAAAAATGCAACTGGATCTGTAAAAGGTCACATAGAACGAGCTGCTATAAATACTCCAGTGCAGGTCCATCTTAATACACTTCGCCCTATTCTTTGTGTGTATTGCCATCGTCTCTCCCTTCTTTTTTCTTTAATAAGTTGTCTGCATGCCACGTATGCCATGCTGACTTCTGAAGTTTTTGACAGGGAAGNCTATTCTTTGTGTGTTGCCATCGTCTCTCCTTTCTTTTTTCTTTATTAAGTTGTCTGCATGCCACGTATGCCATGCTGACTTCTGAAGTTTTTGACAGGGAAGTGCTGCAGATGTCGCTATGTGCGCCATGTTAGAGATATCAAAGAATGCACGGCTAGAGGAGCTTGGATGGAAATTGCTTTTACAGGTTTATCTTCTGTTGCCCTTTACTGGACTTGTCTCATTTTAGGAAACGGAACAACAACAACAACAAACCCAGTATATTCCCACAAGTGGGGTATGGGGAGGGTAGTGCGTATGTAGACCTTACACCTAGTGAAGGTAGAGAGGAAACTGAAAAATTGAGAAATTGATAAAAAAGAAAAACTGTATTCTGCTGTCATATTTGCTGTGTGGGTACATCTCTCAATATCTCGAGCTCTCTTCACCTAGAACTTTGGAGCTCACCTGTTAAGTTTGATCTCATGCTAAGTTGACATGCATATTCATTACCTGGGGTAAAGGTTTTGCCAATTGTTGTGCGTAACTGCAGACAAAAAGATTATAACTAAAATTTTCAGGAATGTTGGAAGATGAACGGTTACTAGGAGAGAGATTCATTTTCCTGTAACAGAAATGGCAAATGGCACATTTATATTTTTATGTTTGGCATAGCTTAGAATTATTTATATATGTGTCTTAATTTTTTTTTGCAGTCCCAGTTAATTGTTTGCGTCGTTTGTCATTAGCTAACAATTGTAGTTTATTGTTTGTTTTCGAACAGGTTCATGATGAAGTTATTTTGGAAGGGCCGGAAGAATCTGAAAACGAAGCCATGGCAATAGTGGTTGACTGCATGTCCAAGCCTTTTGGTGGAAAGAATATTCTCAGAGTTGATCTATCTGTTGATTCTAAATGTGCCAAAAACTGGTATTCTGCCAAGTAGAAGATGGATTTCATCTAGACATATACATGGACTTTTATCCACCTCGGCTCCATTCCCTGCATTTGTTTTGTCCCTCTGAAATGTATAGAGATTAATCTAACTCGATCTCATGGTCCCAATCATGAGGTAAGTCCAGCGCGTCAGCGAACAGATGATCCACAGCTGCCAGAACCTAGTGCTGTTAATCCATTTTTTCAACGGGTCTTGGATAGCATGTAGAAAACCTTAATATGTAAATACTAACTTTTCTTTTTCTTTTTCTTTTTGAGTAAGTTGTATGTAGCCCTTGATTTCGAGATCAGAATGTTTGTAAAAGTGCATCTTACCCTTTTGATGATGTCTTCCTAGCCTTTTGCCCTACGCAGGTGTATATTTCTTGGCCTAGAGTGAGTTTTTTCAACATCTTATTCTCTTTTGTACTATTACCCTTCTTCAGATTGTTTTTGTATGAGAATATAAAAGGCTATTTATCATCTTTCTCTCTTATGCTTCAAAATTCTACCTGTGTGGCCGTTGAACTTGAAGAAACCAAATGTGTAAGTAGCAGCAATCAAACTTAATCACATAAATAAACTTATGTATCCTCCTAATGATATTATCAAGAGTATAAGTGCGGTAACGTTCAAGTTCTTCCATGGTCTTTTCTTCTAACACCTCTATTTAAATTAAAAACCAGAAGATTTTAATTCTGTAATAATTGAAAATGAGCCAAAACCATGACGTCGTGGTAGGAGATTTGGCGCTACAAATACAATACAATATTGAGATGAATGGAAGGAGTTAATGGTGGACCAAACACTTTAAAATAATATATTAGTATCAAATGTATAACTTTTGTAAGTGGACATTAGTTCATAATATTGTATTTGGTGGAGGATATTGGCAACCCTACCATTAAATTTCACACCAAAATGGTGTAACACAAATTTAGTCCAATCATTACACCATTTTTTAAAAAGAATATTTCTTTTTATATTCTTCTCTCTCTTCTATATTATATTATTATCTTCTATTTAAATTTTATTTTTTATTTTCTTCAAACAAATTCTATTTCACATATAATTCACATTCACCACTTATATAATCATTTATTCTCCTACTTATGTATCATCGGAGTCTGAGGCTCCTACTCCTGATTCACCGTTGGTATCGTCTCCTAACTTGTCATCATTTTCACTAAATTTAAATGAGGATGTTGCAAGTGAGGCTACATCATCACAACGACCTATTAGGGTAAAGAAAGCAAAATTGAAGAGAAAATTTGATGAAGATTACGTGAAAATGATCCAATCGGATAATAGTCGGCTTGTTGAGGCGATGGAAAAGTCAAGTAACTCAAGAAATGAAGCTTCGAGACAAAAAGAATTCAAAGAAGAAAATAAAATTTTATTGACGAAGTTGAATTCCATTGACGATCCAAATCTTCGTGAATTTTTGCAACAAGAACAAAAACGAATAATCGATAAAAGAAGTCAACAATTTTAACAACCACAAGTACAACAATCTTCTACCCCGTTCTCTTAGTTTTTTAGTAATTTTGGTCCACCTGGAAATGACATACCAGATTACTAAACTTATGTTTTATGTTTTTTAATGTAATTTCAATTTTAATGTATCTTCCTTTGATGTACTTTTAATTTTAATGTATTTTTATTTTATGTATTGTTAATTTTCTTTTTTAAATTTTGGTTTTCACTTTTCAATTTTAGCAACATTAGATATCTTACATTTGCATTTTTCATTTTTAAATAATGGTTATATTTCTTTTTATACAATTATAATAATAATAAAATTAACTTATAATTTTATATAAATATAATATATACAAAAATTAGTATATCAAAAAAATAGGATATAAAATTAAAATTATAAAGATCTTAATATAAAAATTAATTATATACACAATATATGATAAATTAAAAGTCCAAAAAATAAAAAAAATTAATAAAATAATAATATAATTTGATGTTGATGAATAGTGTCACACCAAATTTGGTGTGACACTATTCACACACTAAAATGGTGCAAAATTTGATGTTTCATTGGAGCAAAAAAATACCAAAATTTACACCAAATTTAGATTTGGTGCAAAAAATAGTGCACCATTGGAGATGCCCTCAAATTCAAAGTAAAACACAAAAAATTGAGGCTTGAAACACGTTAAATTCCTCCATTTCGTTGCCGAAATTACTATGAACTTTGTATGCAAGTAGTTTTAGTAGATATTGTTTGAACAAAAGATGTCAAAATCTTTTTGATTAAAACAACTATTGATAATGACGAGGTCAATCTCAGTCAAGCACAATAAAATCTAGATCAAATGATGGAAGGAGTAAGCAAGATGAACGATGTAATAAGCATATTCAAATCAAATAAATGCTCATAAATGTGAAGATTTAAATGCATAACAGAATCTTAACAGACGCAATCGGTGTAGGAGGGAACAAGTATGAGATGATTGGGGAATCTTAGGATCTTCTCAGATGAACAAGACTGCTTTTGCATTCACTCTCACATGATTATTTTACAAAGTGTTCTTTTGTCCCTTTTTTTCTCCCCCTCTTCTGTACTCACCCTTCCTATTTATAAGGGACAATCTCCCAAAAATCGTAAAAAGTACAACATAGAGAATATTCGAAAAGCATATTCTTACTGTCTCCCACTAAAATTACACTGTCGTGGATGTTATGCATCGACTGACCGCCATCAGTCGTTACCTTTCACCACGACGACCATCAGACGGTGCATCATGATAACCTCATTCCTCGTCCTACTCGGTAATGGCCGTGGTTGCCAACTTTGGACCCATACAGTTAGTCCCTCCGCTTGTTGAGGTCGCGGCCTTGTGCGTCCTTGATTAGCGGACGTCATCCATACCCGCAGAGAAATTTGGTGGTTAGATCATAACAGTTTGATCAATAAACAAAGAGCGGTGCGTTCCGCGACATCCCAGATAGTGTAGCCTATCGGGAAATGACGTCACTCCCACGTGTGTCATTATTACGCATCTTCTCGAGGCAGAGACCGATTGGCTTATCGCTTTGGTTTTGGTGCCACTGGCAGCCTTTTGCTTCGATTCTGGCGCCATCCAACCTTATAAATAGATGAAGGTTTGGATCTTTCGAGAACTTTTGGTCTTTTCTTCTCTAGTGTATGTATTATTTTCTTTGGCCATCTCTTCTCGTATCTTCAGCTCTATTTTCGTGATTTTTCTTCTCATATTCTTTGTTCATCGTTCTTTGTTCTGTGTTTTATCAATATACCCTCTGCCATCGAGATGCTTAGAACACATCGTTCCTATGAAGAGATTTCCGACGCCACTCCACTTTTCATGGCACCTCCCCCTAGTGGTGAGGATACGCCAATAGAGGAAGAGGGGCAGCCTTCCCACCGTGGAGGAGATACTACTGAGAAACCCCATGTCTCAGAATGATTTTCTTAAAGAACATGTTCCTTCTCCTACTCCGGTGAATTATGAGACTGAGCAGGCTTACATAGATGACCTTCGATCTGCGTATAACATTCCCTCCCATGTTGAGATGGTTCTGACTGGGAGGGACTTCGTAGATGTCCACAGACCGGGATATTGTGCCTTTTACATGTACCCCTTTGTAATCGGCCACTCCCTCCCTCTTCCATTAACGGAGGAGTTCTGTCGGTTTTATGAGGTCTGCCTGGTGCAACTTTCTCCGTACACGTACAAGATATTTTTGGTATTGACGAAGTACGTGAAGTTGGTGGGGTGTGAAGTTGGCCTTCATCACCTTCTACATTTGTTTTCCCCTAGTTTTCACAGGGGAACTATGATATATTTGAGGCATCATGGGATTAGAGGGTTGGTGGTCGGAACGGACGACCGGGCAAGCTGCAGATTTGGCATAAATACTTCTTTATTAGAACCGAGCATCTGGTGTCGGACCCCGCTGGATTCCCAGAACGGTGGAATCGTAACCGTAGGTATATGTACTTGTCGTTTACTTTTGTTCTTTCCAACTTTGTACTTATTTGCAACTTTCCCATGGAGCTGTGAGGCGTACACATCATCCCATCGCTAATATCGAGGACTGGGTGGCCCGCTTATTACCTCACGTGATGGAAACTCGAGATTGGTCCGCTTTCATGAAACACTTTGGGCCAAAGGTTCCATCTAGTAAATGTTTCTCTGTTTTGACCTTTGGCTGTTTGCTGTCGTTTATTGATACAACTCTCTATGATGACATGTCGAAGGGCTTCTAGGAAGAAAGCCCCAGTCCCTAAATTTTTCCAGGCCGTCGCATCTGTGCTAGTTTTTGGCGTGGTACGGTATGCCCATAACACCTCTGGTAGCAGTTCCGGCCATAGCCCTTTAGCGTCCTCGAGCTTTTTCTTTAATATATTTAATATTATTTTGTTGGAGGATTCTGCTTGACCATTGTCGGCGGGGTTATATGGCATGGAGAGTATCCGCTTGATGTGCCATTTTTCGAAGAACTCGTTCCTCTTTTTCCCGATGAACTGAGGTCCATTGGCACAACTGATTTCTTTGGGGATGCCGAAACGACATATGATGTTTTTCCAGATGAATGCGATGACTTCTTGTTCGCGTATTTGAGCAAACGCACCTGCTTCCACCCATTTGGAAAAGTAATCAGTTAAAACCAAAAGGAAGCGTATCTTACCTCGCCCTGCTGGGAGGGGTCTGACGATATCCATCCCCCATTTTATAAACGGCCTTGGAAAAGTGACGGAGTGCAGAAGTTCGCCCGCTTGGTGTATCATAGGGGCATATCTCTGGCATTGCTCGCATTTCTTGACGTAATCCGCGACCTCTTTTTTCATAGTGGGCCAGTAGTATCCTGCACGAATAAGACATCTGACGAGGGCTCGATTTCCTGTATGGGCACCGCAGTGGCCCTCGTATACCTCTTCGAGCACACTCCTCATTTGATTCGGTCCAAGGCATTTAGCCAAGGGACCACCAAACATCCTTTTGTAAAGATCGTGATTTATGAGGCTGTACCTGACCGCTTGTATTCGAAGCTTTTTGGCGTCTTTTTTATCTTGTGGGAGTGTTCCCTCCTGCAAATATGATATGATGTGGTTGCGCCAGTCCCAAGTTAAATTTATAGAATGTACCTCGACTTGGTCTATTGATGAGTCAAGGAGGGTGATCACATTTTCCTTGGTGATATTCTTAGTTGCTGTTGCCAGCTTGGCGAGACCGTCTTCTTCAATATTTTGCACCCGGGGTATTTGATCAAGTCGGCATTCGTCAAATTCTGGTAGCAGCTTATGGATTTCTGTAGCCTCTGCTCCTTGATCTGGAAAGTCCCAGTAACTCGGTTTATGATGAGCTGAGAGTCATAGCGGAGGATGACTCGTCGTGCACCATATTTGAGGGCCAATTTCAGTCCTGCAATTACGGCCTCATACTCGGCCTCATTGTTAGTCATTTTAGGGCACCATATGGATTGGCGAATCACTTTGCCCGTTAGGACTTTGAGTACGAGTCCCAGTCCAGATCCCGACGCGTTGGATGCGCCGTTGGTATAGAGGACGCAGAGGTCGGGTCACACAGGGGAGGCACGAAGCGCTTCTTGCTCGACCTCAGACAATATTTCTGTACTGAAGTCAGTGACGAAGTCGGTGAGTACTTGCGATTTTATCGCAGTTCGCGGTTGATATGTTATATCATTCTCGCTTAATTCTATGGCCCATTTAGCCAATTTACCCGATAGCTCGGGTTTGTGCAAGATGTTCCCGAGGTGAAATGTTGTCACCACCTTTATGGGGTGACATTGAAAATATGGTCTGAGCTTACGTGAAGCTACGACCAACGCCAGAGCCAGTTTTTCAAGGTGGGGATACCTCATTTTGGCGTCAATTAAGGTTTTGTTGATATAGTAAATCGGAGATTGCGTACCTTTGTTTTCGCGAACCAAAACCGTGCTTACCGTGACTTCAGAGACGGCTAGGTAGACAAGGAGGCATTCGCTTGGATCTGTCTTGGCGAGTAACGGTGGCGAGGACAAGTAGGTTTTTAGTTTTCTCAGGGCGTCGACACACTCCGACTTCCACTAGAGCCCGTTGTCTTTCTTTAGCACACTGAAAAATTTATGGCACCTGTCTGACAATCGTGAGATGAACCTTGACAGGGTGGCTATCTTACCTATCAATTTTTGCTGGTTAATATTTCTGGTATTCCCTCGATGGCCTTAATCTGATCTGGATTGAACTCGATGCCTCTTTGCGACACCAGAAAATCGAGGAATTTGCCCGAGGTTACGCTGAAGGCACATTTTTTGGGGTTTAGTTTCATGTCGTACTGCCTTAATATGTCGAAGGCTTCCTTCAGATGATCGATGTAGTCTTTTTTCCTTTTTGACTTAACCAGCATGTCGTCGATATAGACTTCCATCGTTTTGCCAAGTTGATCTTTGAACATCTTGGTGACCAATCTCTGGTAAGTCACTCCTGCATTCTTTAGTCCGAACGGCATAACCCTGTAGCAGTATGTTCCCTGGTGAGTGATGA